TATATATATATATATATATATGAAAGTTTTGAAGTTAATATAGGACAACATGGGAATTGTAACGAATTTATTTATGCGCCATTCCTAGAATCCGACCTTCAAGACAAGCAAAAATGAAGAAGAGAGAAGAACAGAGGAAGAAGAAGAGAAAGGAGACGAGAGAAAACATGACAACTCTTCTCCGCCGCCGAATCGGTGAGGAGGTTGGCCAACCAGGGTTCCATACTTCTCGGAGAAGTCAATGGATCAGTTGACGCCGATTTCTCACTGCCCAAAAACCTAACAGTAATCACCAAGCGAGCAATTTGCTTATAGTAGATCATAAAATAATAGCTATAAAAGCACCTTGGATTCCCCTCCGGGCAGAAAGTAACCGCATACCCGCCAGCGCCGGCGCAGGTGAAAATCGAACTAGCGTCGTCATAAGCATAACTATAGGAATCAGGACACGCCGCCTTAAATACCTCCGAATACGCCGTTGGCTTACACTTCGCCGGCGATGCAAACTCCCCGCTGCAGCAAAACTCCTCCCCACCAAACGCCTGACACGCGCTCCTACATGCCGCCGCCTCTCTCACCATTAACTCCGGCGGACACCTTTCGTTCACATCCGCCGCACATCCCGCCGCCGCACAATGTCCCTCTCCCGCCTCAATCACCAGGGGAAGATTATATCCGTCCACCAAACTCACGTCGTAGAAATCTTTCTCGTCGCCGAGGGTGAACTCTGCTAGAGTCACCGGAGGTGCCGCTCCTCTGCCGTTGCATTCCACCTCCCCTGTTCCGCAGTCCCCGGTGAGGCAGAAGCCGGTGTTGGAGTCATAAAAAACGCAACTTGTGCGGGCCCAGAGGCGGCCCGACCATCCCAGAGGGGCTTCGATGGATCGCCATTGGCCGGACGGGAGCTCGAAGCCGGTGGTGGAGAGAAGGGGGATTCCGGCGCCGGAAAGGATAGCGGGCCAGATTGTTCGCTGGCAGTTGTTTATGATGGTGAAGTTTTTTGCTGCCGTCTTATCCGGCGATGCTGAAAGATCATAGAATTGTTAGTAGTTCTATTTGCAGAAAGGTTTAATGGAGGAGGGAGAGGGTTTAGTGTCTGTACCGAGAAAGGAGAAGCAGAAGAAAATGATGGAGAGAGAGTGAGAGAAGACAAAAGCCATTGGAGGGGCGTTTGTGTGCCCTGTTCTATTGTTCTATTTTCAGTTATACATGTTGAAGAAGGGGGAGTTGATGTTGGGGTCGCGAATGTCTACTTATATAGATGAAATAATCAAGATTTATAACAGATTTATATGGTTGTTTATAGCTTTTATTTACTCAAAATAATTAAAGAAATTGATGTAGATGATAGAGTGATTATTTAGTGACTTTTAGTATACACAGTTAACTTAAGTGACAGACAGATACATTAAAAATTGCATTTACTCAAAATAATTAAAGAAATTGATGTAGATGTTAGAGTGATTATTTAGTGACTTTTAGTATACACGGTTAACTTAAGTGACAGACAGATATATTAAAAATTGAGTCTCACTCAAACTTCACTCATTTATAAAGAGAGTCATTGCCACATGGTGGTTGTGGCTCTGAATGCTGCCACAGTAAGGCACACTAAGGGCCCATTTGTGGCAGCTTATAAATACGGGCGGCGTTTTGAAAATGCCATCTTGTAGGTTGTGGCCCTTCTATTTCTTGCCTCTTCCTTAATCAGTCTCCCTAACACACGAACTCCAGAACATGCGAGCTTGTAGAGAGAGGCAGAAAGATGAGCCTAAGAGGGAGTGGTGCTGGCGTGAAAGGAGGGAAACAAAATGGCTTGACATTTGTCTCGATTGGTCAAAGCCGGTGGAATACAAGCTTATGGACTTAACATTCCTTGAGAAGTTCCTCCTTGAACGGATCAAGTTAGCCTCGCTGGGTGGAAAGGCCGACACGATTGTCGATGCGTCTTTTGCACACGGGATAAAAACATGATCACTATCACATTCGAAGGCCCCTTTTTCAAGCATTATGCTTGCGTAGTAACTCCATTTCTTATGCGATTGTGGATATAAGTCATGATTGAGGTTTTTCATTGTCTCGTTGAGGTACGTCTAGAACATATTAAGCCAATATTTGTTTGTGAGTGTTATATCAGTTAAACTTTGGCTTGATGGAAGTCCTCAGAAATTATAAAACTAGGCCTTTGTTTGTATTTCTTATCAATGATTTTATGGTGAATTTAATGAGATGGTAGCGGATAAAGTGACAAGCTTACTTATTGATGGGTTCTTTGATAAAGATGC